AGATAATATATATATATGAGAGAGAGAGAGAGAGAGACAGAGAGAGAGAGAAAGAAAGAGAGAAATTTGCAGTGGAAAGAGGAGACCGGGAGGAGTGTGACGATGAAAGCAAAGAGGGAGAGGGGATGATAGCGGAAAAAATTAATTGGGGACGGGTGGAGGGCGATGAAATTTTCAAAAAAGTGGGGTGGGGGTCCGCCTTTCTGGCTGCCTCACCTGGTGAACCCAGGTAAAGTTGTTGTTGCAGGTGGACGGCGTGAGTCGTTTGTTGGGAGCTGGCACCAAGCACGCCTCGCCCTGTTTGAGCTGGCCCTTTGATGTGAGCGTGACGGTCTGTGGAGAGATCAAACACCTGGCTCGTTCAAGGCTCACACACCTGGGTGGCTGGCTAACTGCTTTTCTTACAAACCGGATTTTTAGATACATACTGTAATATAATGTATACATGGCTGCTTTTAAGCACAAGGGGGCTATCACGAAAAATGCTGTTTTGAGAAAATCGAAGGTAAAGTTTTTGGACCCTTGTTCAGTTTCTTTAAAAGACAAGGAGTTTTCTCTATAACCAAACAAATTATATACACACCAATGAAACCAAACTTCTCCTATAGGTAGGGCAATGCCCACTTTTGATGTAAGTCAATATTTCTGGAAACCCCCGAAATCTGGGTTAGCCCGCATTTCCTTAAAAGTGACCACATTATGTATTATTAGCCTATTATTTAACCGGTTTAGACAAATTCGATACAAAATCTTTGAACGTATTTTATGAAAGTATTTTAAATGAAAACCAAGTACATCATCTGCCAGATTCTTAGAATAATTAGTGTTTTCAAACGAAAGATTTGCTAAACTTGTCTGATTTTATTTATCGTGTAATGTTTGTTTCACCATTCACCACAAAAAAAAGAAAGAAGGCATTGTATGAAATGGCACTAATGACAGTGGCTTTTTCCCCTCTTTTTATTTGTTGCTGTTGTTGCTGTTGTTGCTGTTTTTGTTGTTGTTGTTGTTGTTGTTGTTGTTATTGTGGTTGTTGCTTGTTGGGGAGGGGGGAGTATAAAAGACAGGTATTCCATCTAGTGATCACATTATTTACATAGAAATGAACCAGTCAACCGAATATGACTAGCTTTCCACCCAGCTCTCACCTGGAATGTGATAGATCTCAAACCTTCGTTCCACTTTTTGCCTTGTGCGCTCGATGAACTTACAGAGGTTTATAGATCTATCTAAATTGTTTGGGAGTCAAAATTTACGTACAATTTATCTGTTTCTAATCCAGATGTTTGTTCAAACTCCAGCGAACTCCACGCCATTCCAGATGCACTGGGCTCCCCCTGCATGAAACCCCCCCCCCCCCCCAAAAAAAAAAAAAAAAAAAACCCACCCCCAAACAAACAAAGCCCTTGAAAATAATCGACGAAAAGGGGATGACGGAGGGGGACGGAGAGGAATCATAATGTTACTTTGACCCTGTCTAAAGCAAACGTATTACGTTTGAGTTTTAGATTTGGTTTTGGCTAGAGTTCTGCCCTGAGGCTGAAATCACATCCTATATCGGAAATGAGTTTGCGCTGTGTCGGGAAGACCGGGACTTGATCATGTCGTTGTGCCATTTCTAACGCCGTAGAACTTTGTTTGTCGATGCTTACGCCTCTTTAAAACCTTATGTATTTGATCGATATTGCTATTTCTGTTGTTGCTGTTGTTGTTGCTGTTGTTGTTGCTGCTGCTGGTGGTGGTGCTGCTGCTGTTGTTGTTGTTGTTGTTGTTGTTGTTGTTGTTGTTGTTGTTGTTCTTCTTCTTCTTCTTC